CGTGCTGGATTATGAAAGAGTTCAACGGACGCTTTCATTAGTAGTAAGGGAGAAGTTTTGGATTGGTAGATCTCAAGATGATGTCTTACTTCAAATATTCAAGAGTATAATTACCCTCTATGTCGACCTTGGTACTTAGAAGGCATATTACATTCCATTAAGAATGAAACGTCAACGAGCCACCAGAACTGGCTGAGTTTATGACCTCCGAGAAGAAATAAAAACTCTCTCTTAATTAAAAAACTGTGTTGAGATGAAATATCTCAGATTAAACCTCTTATTAAGTTCTTTTGTTGGTGTTCCGTGCGTTAAAGGATTTAGAAAATGACATTGCGATTCGAAACCATTCTCGGTCTTAATTGGCTTATGGAAGTTTTTTTTTCCAAATAGGATTGATTGACATAACTTATTGTCAAATCCATGTTTGACAGGTTATCCTGGTAAAGTCAGTTTCATGGCTACGGCTCCATCGCCATTTGCGTTTACGAAAGAGACAACCAACTATGCAAGGCTATGCCGCCTCCTGGTGGATGTTGGATCTCAGGTGCTCCGGTCCACTTTTGACAGAATACATCCACCAGCGACTCTACATAAAGTTTTGGGAAGTACCTCAGTACATTACGCCACATTGCAATCACTGTACAGAGGGAGGAAGAAAGTGCTTAATCCCACGCAATGGGGGAAGTTGTATCCTACTCACTCGCCCGTGTCTTCTGCAGCCTTCGATATCACACTTCTAACAGTGCTTCTTAGAAATATCTGTGGTTTGTGCTCTCCTGCAAATGGATGGGATCGCCTTCCCCTACCTACAAGCATAAGCATCGCAGATGACATTGCCAGAGTTAAGTATTACAGGAACACTGTATACGGCCATGCTTCTCAAGCCTCTGTGGATGACAGTAGTTTCAGTGCTTACTGGCAGGAAATACGAGAAGCTTTGGTGAGACTGGGAGGAGCTCATTTTAGAACTGAAATCGACAATCTTGAGCACGGCTGCATGGATCCAGATATCGAGGAGCATTATCGTGAACTGATGAAACAATGGAAGAAAGACGACGACAGCATCAAAGACAAGCTTGAAGAAATTGAGGGTAAGAAAAACATTGTCCACTGCCAATATGGATGAATCAGAAGACTACAAAAGTATAACTTTGCAGAAAAAGTCGATTCTTCTTTCATTTAACTAAATTGAATTAAAACAAATTCTTGAACCTGGGCTAATTCCTTGAGGGAATTTTCGCGGCAACCTCTCATGTTGGGGCTCCATTTTCATCTTATTTCCATATTTTGTTTACATCACGCACTTTACAAAATTCAAAGGCGGAAGAAAGTCCATGGGAAAAAAGAAAAAAAACAGGCCCCAAGAAGAAAGAAAGGGTACCATTCTGTCAAGAAAAGAAAACATTCCTTTGTGAAAGTTACTGGTGCTAGCGGAGCTCCACGCTTGCGTCCAGATATCGACCAAAGAAGTCGCCGTCAAACCAAAATTTGCCATACATGATGGTCATTATTGTTTCGTCCTCCTCAACGCTCCACTGAGCGATCGAGGTAAAAAAAAAGTGTCTGCAATGGGTTACTTTTCCCGGGAAATATTTATCCATCGTCAATGACGCTAGGAGGTCCCGTTGCTTTATTGGTTTGCGGTTTCAAGAGGCAAGATAATCTCTTGGCGTGGCGCGAGTTGTTTGCGAACCGTTAGGAGCTAAAATTTCCCATTTGATTTTGGGTATATAGATTTGACAGATTTTCGTCAAATTTCTCCGAAACATCCCAGGAATAATGGGAATCGAAAGTATGTTGAGAAATTTTGATATTTGAAATATTTGTCCCGTGGCGTCCATTTACGCAACAAGACTCGCATATTTTTAGCTACTCCAACTTAAGATGCCGTTATCTACACAATCAATCAGAATATCGAAAAAGCCTGACACATTTATGTTGATTGATGCTTTGTGAATTAGGCTGTGGAGCCATTTTGCACGTGCTGCATACATATACTTACATATACTTTATTTACGCTCGAAATTCATAGTGTAGCTGTAGAGCTAATATCTTCGAGGAAATAAGCTAAAATAAAATAAAAATATGCTTTATTACAATGTCAATATTATATATAAACTGTGTACAACATTATGCATGCAGAGGGAATATAACTTGTAGATCTACTGTGGTAAAACTTCATATCTGAGGATCCCCTGCTTGAATTCTAGAAAATTTAATGTTTTGTAAGTGTCTGGGAGAGAGTTCTATATTTTACTAGCTAAGTATGAAAAAGAGTGCAGACCGTAAGCATCCGATACCCGATGAATTTAATTGAAGAACCTTCGGTCATTTAATGTCTTACCGGCTCCTGACAGTTCCTTAAAAGGAAGGTCGCTTAAATTATATTTTTATCCTAAACTGCATTTATCAAGCTTTCTTCTGATATATAGTTTGCTAAGATTTTTAGAGAAATTAGTGCGCGTACGAATTTTTTCCCGAAGGACACCCGCAAAGGAGGGAAATAACCTTAACACGGCGGTGTAGGCCTGCTCATGACGTTTACTAAACGTAAATCTTGATGTAAATGTGCTTATGACATTGCGCTTATCTTTCTTACATTTTCAGATTTGCTAGGTGACCTCGGAAACAAAACTGAGAAGATAGAGATTGAAATGAAGGAGATGAGAGAGACGCTTAGTAGCCTGACGACAACAGTGGAAAAAAGCACAAATGAAGGTTGGTTGCAAAAAAGAGCTACTCACGGATAAACTGAACTAACGACGGTGATTCCGTTAACTTGAGTACATAACACATCTTCAAAGCATGACCACATTATTAATTGGTTTTGGCCATGTTAGCATTTTTTTTTGGTAATGTATACTGTTTTAAGAGCACACCCTGGCTATCAACCTGCTCTGGCTACAAATGAAAATACTAGGTAATGTGTGGGATGAATGGATACCATGGAATCTCAGGCTACCTCTCGGTATTGGATAGTTTTCTGACAGCACTCATAAGCATTTGACCGACAAGTGTGAATGTCTTATTTTTTTAGTTTTTGTTAAGGATAGAATGAATCTAACTTCCTAGACCATTAGATGTGACCTGCATATTGTTGAATGAACTACTATATTCCTTCCTCCACTCATAATTTATTGTAGAGTATTTCATTCTACATGGAAAAGTCCCTGAATGAGGGTTGTCCTAGTAAAAAGGGACAGGATAAGGTGTATGTGGTTATTTTACATTTTCCCAGTATAAAACTGTGAACGAAACCTCATACTTCATTGCAGGTGGACCTCTGGTTTTCTCCAGCCTTTTTGTTATCTTTACTCATGATTAAACGACTTGAAAAGAAAGGACGGAAAGGCGACTTTGCTATTCTTTAATTAGTTCTTACTGTGTCGCTTTTTACCGACAAAAAATCTTACGCAGGCTATCGGCTCCAATAATATCAATATTTATCTCCCGAGTAAAAAACTTTACGACAAAGTTTCACTATCAGACACCGTTTAAGCCGAACCATAAGTTTTTTGTAGAATGTTGTCTAAAATTAACCCTTAACACCCTAAAATTAAAATGCAATCTCCATACTCTCCTCTTTACATTTCCTAAGGTGCTGATAAGGAGAATTAGTTTCACAATGAAGAGTTTTTGGTTGGTGATCACTTCCTTGATTCTCATGACCTTAATGTGTGATTCAGGGGTGATGCTGTGAGGAGACATTAGATGCTAATCACCCTTAGGGGTCAAAGGCTTACAACAAACAATAGACGAAAGGGAAAGGATCTATTTAGTTATCTTTTCTTTCATTGAATAAAGTGGTTCTCACTCAGAATAAAATTTCTATTGTTATTCCATCGTCAGATACCACAAAAGAGTCTCTAGATAAAATAATAGGCGAAATGACAAAGATTGACAGTGAACTGAAAGAAGTAAAGGAAAAGATGTGTACTTCTACAGCTTTCGTGGGAGAAAGCAAGGATGACGGTTAGTTGAATTTTGTAATAAAAGTTATCCTGCTTAACCGGGTATGTAGCCGTAGTCAACATGTCCTAAATGTGTGAGAGAAATCATCCTATCTTGAGGGATTCAGTTTTTCAATTTTAACAGTTTCTGGTATGCTTTCATTCCCTTCAATGCTTTAACTGTGGAGTACAGTTCACCTCTGGTCCTCACAATTTTATTACAATTGCCGTTCTAAAATTGCTTTTACACTGATATTTGGGGTGGCGTATGGAAGCCACTGTTTAGTGAATACCTGCCAACTAAGAGGTGGCGAATTTTCCTTCGCAAGACATGGAGTAAAATTTTCCTTCAAAATTTTACCCGTAATAAGTGTCTAAACATTTTACTTGATGATCCGTTTTCGTCTGTTTTCAGCTATCACTAAAAACGATGCCATCTTTGTAATCTATGACATTTTCCTTTATCATACAGGAATAATCAAAGATTCAGTGAGAGAGGCACTTATAAGAATGGAGAACGAAATAATAGAGAAAAAGGAAAAGCTGGTTTCCTTGAAGGCTTCAGCAGAAGAATGCAGAGATCAAGGTCAGTCGTGCGAAAGACAGCAGTTTTAACTGTAACATTGGTATTAAGTTCAGCTCGATGTTAGAAACTATCAGAGTAGGTTTGACTGAATTCATAATCTAAATGGCTTTTAACCAATAAACATGAATCATACACTGATACCTTTTTGCATCGTCTAAGAAATTTCTTTGGCAATGGTGTTGTAATCATTCACTTATTTAAATTCAGTGCTGAATACCAGAGGGACAACACAATTTTCACCACCTCATTCATTAGATTTCTTACTCATTTTGCTACTGTTAGGTATTTTTGATCCAACTGAGCTTATTAATGGAATTCGCCAGCTGTACAAGACTCGTGAGGGATGGCTCTCACCATTTCCATGGTGTGAAGAGTTTCAGTTTTTTCTTGGCAATATTTTTACAAGGCTCAAAGTGGTCAGAAGAAAGAAAACGAGAGGAGAAATCACTGACGTATTTGTTGACATGTCGTGTATACTAGACCCGTATGAAGAGTGTTCAGCGCCGAGAACAGTGTTGATTGAAGGAGAACCTGGTATGGGAAAAACCACCTACTGTAAAAAGTACGCCTACGACTGGGCCACAAAACAGCAAGAGCCTCAGGGCTGCAGCGCAACAGCATTCAAAGCAGTATTGTTGCTGAAATGTCGAGACATCTATTCTGATGTTTGGGGTTATTGATGATCAACTTCTTCCCCGAGACATCGATGAAGAAGTCAAACAACTATTCTTTCACTTTATTCGTGAAAATCAGTCCAGCATTTTATTGATATTGGATGGATTGGATGAGTTACCATCCGGCAAATTGTCGATGTTTTCCGAATTAATTGAGGGAAGAGTACTCCCCAGATGCCACATAGTTACAACAGCAAGACACGAAACTGGAAAAGAGGTGAGAAAATGCTGCGACACGCTGCTTGAGATCGAAGGGTTCACTGAAAACCATGTGAAAGGATTTATCACCAAGTACTTTAAAGAAAGGCCGGATTTAGCCGCCAAGCTCTCGGAACGAATGTCCCGAGATAAAAACCTGACAGAAATGGCAGCCAATCCCCTAAACACAGCACTTCTTTGCCTTTTGTGTGAAGAGTTTGAGGGCACACTCCCCGAAAACAGAGCTCAACTTTACTTGGATATGATTGAATGTGTCTTGAGAAGATACAGGAAAAAGAAGGGACTATCAGAAAAAGGAGAGGACCTGACTAACCTTTACAAACCGCAATTGAATCACCTTGGGTCAGTGGCCTTGAATGGTTTACTTAACGGCAAATTGGATTTTAATGAAAGTGAATTGGCAAACCATGCAAAAGAGTTAACTGAGTTTGGATTTCTGTCAGTACAGCCTGGTGGCAGCAAATTGAGACAAAAACTGCATTATGCTTTCTTACATAAAAGTTTTCAAGAATGCTTTGCAGCATTCTTCATTTGTTCTCAGATTCAAAGTAAGGAAATTACACTTGAAGAACTAGTTTCCGATCCAAGGTATTTCGTTAAACTTAAAGAAGTACTTTTGTTTTCATGCGGAATTTTAGCCATGAAATGCGATGAAGGAGTTGTGGCTCTTGTAAAGAGTTTAACAAATGAAGTCAACAAAAATGCAGGCAGTGGTACAAAAGTTGTATTGGAGGCCATTAACGAATGTAAAAGAGAAAAAAGTGATTTTCACTCACAGTTAGCAAAGTCGTTTGGAACTGGTTTGAAACTCACCAATTTGAATTTGTCTGGCATTGGTTTTAGTGACGCCGGTGCTACATCTATTGCTGAGGCAATCGAAGTCAACAAGACGCTCACCAATTTGAAGTTGTCTCGCAATGGTATTAGTGATGCCGGTGCTACATCTATTGCTGAGGCGATCAAAGTCAACAAGACGCTAACCAATTTGAATTTGTCTTTCAATTGTATTTGTGATGCCGGTGCTACATCTATTGCTGAGGCAATCAAAGTCAATAAGACGCTAACCAATTTGAATTTGTCTTACACTCGTATTAGTGATGCCGGTGCTACATCTATTGCCGAGGCAATCAAAGTCAACAAGACTCTAACCAATTTGAATTTGTCCGACAATGGAATTAGTGATGCCGGTGCTACATCTATTGCTGACGCAATCAAAGTCAACAAGTCTCTGACCAATTTGAAATTTTCTTTGAATCGTATTCGTGATGCAGGTGCTACGTCTATTGCCGAGGCAATTAAAGTCAACGAGACGCTAACCAACTTGAATTTGTCTTACACTCGTATTGGTGATGCTGGTGCTGCATCCATCGCTGAGGCAATTAAAGTCAACAATACTCTAACCAATTTGAATTTGTCTGACAATGGTATTAGTGATACCGGTGCTAGATCTTTTGCTGACGCAATCAAAGTCAACAAGATGTTAGCCAATTTGAATTTGTCTGTCAACCATATTAGTGATGACGGTGCTACATCTATTGTTGGTGCAATCAAAGTCAGCAAGACGCTAACAAATTTGAATTTGTCCAGCAATTATATAAGTGATGCCGGTGCCAGATTTATTGGTGAGGCAATCAAAGCCAAGGAGACTGACCAATTTGTATTACGATGGTATTAGTGTCCACGGTGCAAATTTATTGCTGAGGCATTCAAGGTCAGCAAGACTGTGACCAATTTGTATTCGCCACTCAATGATATTAATGTTGAGTTTGCTAGATTTATTGCTGAGGCGAACGAAGACGACAAGAATGTCTGAGAATGTGATTGGTGATGACGGCATTATATTAAGTTTTTGAAGTATTTGAGGTCAACAAAACCAGCGGTGTTCTTTTGTGGCGATTCCATTGCCGCATCTTTATTTTGCTGAAGTGATTAATGTTAAAAAAAAACTGCGGGTTTTGTATTTAAAAGATTATCATAGATATTTATCATTCACGAACAGCAACATTTTTTCCATTCTTTCCAAGTTTCGAGTGCCTTTCTTTCACTATAAACCAAAACATTAAAAATTTATAGGCACTGATTTTTATTTCTGTTGCGATCTGCAGAGCCATTCCATGAAATTTGTCCAATGAAAACTTTCTAATGGGGAGGTGTGTGGGCGTGGTAAATAAAATGGTAATGTATTGCCAGTAGATGCTTGTTACCACGAAGGCCTAGGACTTAATGACGAGTCAGAAGATATGCAATAAACAGGCTGTGGGAAGATAAGGATTGGTACCAATTATAAATTATTTCTTAGAGAGACTGGCAGATAGAACTCCAACAGATGGTAAATATAGAGCTGATAGAGTGTTTTCACTCACTGTATTTGTTTGATTAAACGCCGTGGCGTTTAGTAAATTTTTTGTGGCTCGAGTGCGGCGTTTATTCAAGGGTGGCGTTTTCACGAGGGCGGCATTTACTTAAAATCCAATTTATTTCTTGCAAACAATAGTATGGTTAGTAACCATTTTAATTTTAAAAACAAAAACATGTTCCATTGCTCGTTCTCGTTTTCACAACTTGCACGTTAATACTACTGCAATACTTAAAGTGAACATAGCTCACTCAATTTCATGTAACTGTCCTCTTTATGATCCGAATCCAAAAGATATAATAGGCTCAACTCGCAGCTTAGGAAAGTTTTTTTGTGGGTAACTCCGCTCGAGAAACGAGAATCCACTGCGAAATGGTTTTTCTCGAGGATGCTTTCAAATTTTCGGCAGCTGTTTCTTCGTAAATTCCCGCGGTACCCAGCCGTTAATCATTCCTTTTTTAGAGCAAGCGGCCTTGAACGACTTGTTTCAGCAAGCATCCGGTGCCTGGATAAGCTTGGTGGAGCCTTCTGGCACAATTACTCGCTCGATTTTTTTTCGGACTGCAATGTGTAAGCAATGCTATCTTAAATGTGGCAGTCGAAGAAGTCCCAGGCTGATAGCAATCAACCACCAACCTGAATATCACTGCTTTAGGGCCTGTTTAAAAAATGTGGGGGACCCAGGTAGGTGAAATGACCTGCCTAGCCGTGGTCTAAAGATATCCCGCGTTTACATACAATCTTACAACCCCGGCGACGTGTGGTAAAACGTTGCTGAAAAAGCATAAGTTTCTTTCGTTTAAGATTTTCGCTAATAGCTCTATGCTTGACCGTTTCCGTGATGTTTTAACGTTTAAACTCTGCGTGGGACGACTAGGAAATGTACAAAGTCTTAACACACTCGTGTTTCGCTTTTGTTGTGCTCATTTGATCTTTTGTAACATGATCGCGCCCCCCCCCCCCTCCCGGCTGAGTGGGCTACCCAACCTTGAGACGTTTACATGCCCCACACAGCAGACAGGGCCAAGACGGGTCACCCAACCTGTCACGTAAACGTGATAAAGATAAAATAAGAGATAAAATGGACGGGCTGGTTACCCCTCCTAGGCAGGTTACCTCACCTACCTGAGGTTACCCACCTCTATCAAAACAGGCCCTTAGTAGACATCGATATGCTTTTTGAGTCTATTATTCGAAGAAACGCTGCGTCGTGATGCAGCATTTATTTGAGGACGGAGTTTATTAACATTTCTGCTCTAAAATACGGCAATTATTCTAGGGCGGCGTTTATTCCAGGACGGCGTTTAATCGAATAAATACGATACATTACATATGAAGACAAGCAATTTTAGAACGTAAACCGACATCTCCGAAGTCATATAATGCTTATAAAAAATTGATCTATTCTAAAACAGAACGGGACCCAATTGTTCAAAGGGTGGATAACGCTATCCAATGGATGCATCGCTATCCAGCGGATAAGTGTTAACAAAGAATACTGCACCATCCATAAGATGGAGATTTATACAGTGGTTATCGTTATCGAACAATCAGGACCAGGTGGACAACAGTTAGCCAGTAGAGTGATCTTAACAACACGTGGTACTTACAGTTAACGATTTGGAGCACAACTAAATAAGTGGGTTTTTGCTAAGTTTTTAATTTCTAACAACAAAACCGTGTAAAGGAAACAAAAAATTGCAAACATATTAATTTTTCCCCTACAAAGCCATAATGGTAGGATTAAGAAGGACAGTAAATTGACTGCTGCTAAAGCAACGCTGCTATGCTCCCTCACCTCTCGTACAACCCCTCCCCTCCCACCCCCCTTCGCTCCTTACCCTACAAGAGCCATGATCCCTCCTTTAACTACCTGACCACACAGGCTGGAAGGAGAGAAAACTTAAAAACTCAGCAGAAGAAAAAGAGAGGAAGTCTCCGCCCCTTCCCCTTCCACCTCATTTGCTTTCGTGGTCAAAACCCATTTTCAGTCTTTCCTGGGAGTGGCTTCTGATGTTTGATACCAATATATCCTTCGGGGAAGAGAAATGAAAACAGGAAAAATTCTGAGAGCAAAGGTAGTATTAATCATATGCCAATGTTATATGTATTGCACTGAACTGATTTAAGAACCCCGATGGCTTTTCCATATTTTTAAAGTCGTTTAAAGCCACGCACCTTACAATCAAATCACAATCAAGCTGTCTGCAGTAACCTGTGTGACGTTTTTTAAAACATTATTCTCAAAGATGTACTATCTGTTGAAATATCTGCTTCATTCCAATAGAGGAAGTTTACTACGCTATTATTTTTACACTTCGGTTACCGAAGCAATTTTACTGACATGCGATATCAAGGAAACAGGAAGGAACAAGTTTGCTTGGATACTAGGGATTTGGTCGAGATTATACTGAAATACCTGTGGTGAAAGATGAAGGAAACCAGTTATAAAGGTTAATTAAGAGAATAGTGTACTAAAATAAGGATATGCAGGAAAGAGATTTTTATATGAATTCTGCGAATGGATAAAAACTTTATAAAAAAAAACGTCTACTCATTTTGCTCTCAGAGTCATGTAAAGAGTTTTAGAGACCACACTTTATTTATCACCGTGGTATGGAGGATTTTTTTTAAGAGAAGGGAGGGGTGGTGAGGGTCTCGTGGTTTCCAATGAACGGAGGGTGATCAGTCGTCGTTAACAGAGTTTTAAGGGGGACTGTGGAGAATTGACCACCAATGCACTGTCAATGAGGGGGAATCATAAGTATATTAGGGGGGGAGCAGAGAAATTTAATCAACATAAAAATCAAATCAAGACATAACCAAAATCCTTCAGCCCCCCATGGGCGATAAATAACGAGCAACTCCTAGCAACAAGAGGCTAGTCTTTCTCATCGTTTAACTCAGGGTACAATTCAGATTTTATCTTCACTTTTTGAGCTGGCACAGATAAATTGAAAGTTATCGAAATACGTACAAATATTTTTTAGTGGAGCTCTTTGAAGTATTTATTGGGCAACTTTTCCGTCGATGACTACGTATTGTCTGCGTCCTCCTTCAGTTTCGTCGGAAGGAAACCATGGTCTATGAGGTCAGATGCTTTCTTGTAATCAATAAATACCAGCCCTGTTGCACTGTTTTTGTCTAAGTCAAGGTGCAGCTCGTCGATTAGTCGAATGAGGGCGGTCTTTGATCAATTTCAAAGTTTCCGTGAGTCGTGCCTGTTTCCAGTATGCTTGCTTTGTTTGCTTAATTAAGTTAGTTACGCAATTTTTCGCACGTCTGAAATTTAACTTTGATTCGGCTTTTGATTGATTTGATTGGGATAGAGTCGCAAATACAAGCGTGAAAGGCAAGTGTCACGTTCTCGATTGCGGTTGCGCGACAATCAGGATAACGTCGTTGAAACCGTGTACCGCGGTAACCTATTTACTCTGAATCTGGTTTACTGAACATTGTTTTAGGTCACATGGCACGTGGTGGAAAAACTAAAAATGAAAAATCAAGGACCAAGTAAACAAAAATACTCGAACCAAAGACGTGAGAAAACGAAAATAACGTCGAAAGAAGCCACCACCTACATTGTCCAACTTCTTAGAAAAAAACAAAAAACGCGGTATTTTCCTTCTGCTCATTTTCCTGGTACGATTTGAAGCCTACATGCGTTCTTTCGAGTTTCTTCCTAAGTGTTCAATTACATTCCAAAATTAGTTAAACGAATTACGATTATTAAACTTTAACTGAAAAAAATGTTCGAGCGTGACTCGCATCTCAATAAGAGTATCTGACCGAGTTTTCAAGGGGTGTTAGGGAGGAGGGAAGGGGCGGATTCTTGCCCCCAACAATCTTATAATGTCAGAAGACGAACGGATCACTCGGAGATTTAGCTTGAAAACGTTATCTGACGCTAATACGCCCAAATATACTGAAAAAAATAAAAAAAACCCACACAGGATTATGTTAGTACTATAGAAGGGGAAAGTTTATCTTCCTTTGTCAGTGGAAAGGTGCAAAATTGAGATCATCAAGTGAAAACGGAAAGTTTTCGATTGCAATGTGAGGTTCGAAAAATCTATTCGTGTCTCAATACAATTTTAAGACGCGTGACCTGTACCCGAGGTACCATGAAGGGAATCACGCGATGTTGCATAGAGGCAACTTTAACGACAACTCCTTTGCAGCTTTAGGATAAAAAATGTTGCTCATTGTTTATGTGAACCTTAAAAGAATCCTATTTTAATTCTTTTGAAACGATGTTTCTTCCTGAGGCCGAGGAAAGTCTTGCAAAGTTAGTTTTCATTGCGTGACTGTGTAACTCGGTTCCAGGTGCTATGTTTAATTTGGTAAATAATGTCATCTGCGCATGTCATGAATAACTTTCTCCTCTGAGTCCGTTTGGGTACTCCCTTCGTCAGTTCTCTCGTCGGAAGATCAGAAAACAGGAGAACAGTTGACCCGAAGAAAGTGCAGGTGCAGACAGAACAGTAAAGTTATTCACTCGGCAACTTAAACTTGAACTTCAATAATCCTTTGTTCACTTGTAGTTTTGAACTCGCGTGAATGTGTATAATTATGAAACTTTCAACATGAGTCTTAGGAGATAATTAAGCGTATGTTGAACATATATTTGATACAATGGCTACTTTTTTCTCTTTACAGAACGACTACCTAGCCTCTTTGCCTTCCCTGGGTGAAATTATTTCGTTTGAAGCACCGTTCTCGAGGAGATCATGTGAAGGGTAAGTTGATCCATGAATTATGAATTGATGCGCACTAAAAATTTGAATTTTATGCTTTAGTAAGGGTCTGTTTTGTGTTCAGACCAACTGTTTTACTTTCAGGAGTCGTTTCTGATCTAGATTGAAGGGAGAGGGAAATGCTTTAGTGAAGATCGGAAAAATGTAATGCGTATCAGTGAAGGCGGAAGTTGCCATTTTTGGACGCGTGTGGAAACTGAAAGTGAAACCTTTCCACACAGTTCGTTTTCCGTTGCTAGAGCACGACTTGCTTTCTCTTATTCAATAGAACGTTTTCCGAGAACTCGAGTCAGACGTTATTTGTCAATGGGAGAATTAATGTGCCATCAAATTCAATCTGAGATTAAAGCATGCAACATCTAGGTACAAATAATTTTGTTAATGGTTGCCGTTGAGTTACTCGCTCATGATTATAACACATTCTAAAGTTCCCGTATCAACACCTGCTCAGGGGTGTGAATAAATTAGTTCATCGTGGCTGCCTATGTGTTTATTCTTTGTCAATTTAAATACTATGTTGCTTAACAATTCCACACGAAGTACATAGCCCAAGTTTCCCAAAAACCATCTACGTTTTCCTTTGCAATTCGTCGAATGACATATTTACAAATTAGATTTCCTCAGTTCCCAATTCAACCTGCCGTGTTCTAAAGTTAGCAGGCTATTATATGATTCCTTTTAAGTTCAATTATTTTCGAACAACCCCTTTTCAGCATGATCAAGTGAAACAGTTTTTATGTCGTTGTGTATGTCTTTCAGATTGTCCTAAAGCTTTCTTCAGTTCATTACACTGTTCAGTAGCAACAATTACTGCCTCAAATATAGCACCTTAAATGTAATTTTGGTGACTGTCATTATCTATCACATCTGATTCGTATTATTTTATGGTTTTCTTTTGCAGAAATTATGACATGTTCATCATTTCTGACAGACATATTGTGATTTCTTGAAGGCAGGAAATCTAAACAATGTATGTATTGATCTTCTTCTTCTTTCTATTTTCTTGTAACACTTTTCCCTCCATTTTTTCTCTCTTTAAATATGATACATATGTTTGAGGATTTTTTTGTGTCTTATTCTCATGGGAATGAAAAATGTTTATATTATTATGTGCTATTCTTTTTTTCATGAATATCATTTTGTTTTGAATATGAAACATGAAATTAAAGTAGTAAGAGAGGACACTAATTAAATTCGCATCAATCTTTATCCAGTGGTTTAATCCTTTGAATTAACACCCAAGAGTAAAGCTTGAATGTTGTCATCCTTCAATAGTTTTTGACACCATGTCTCATCATTGCAACAATTGTGTAAACAATCCAACATGTTTAAGGTATTTATAAATTGCCTTTACATAGAGCCATTAACAGCCAAAATGTCTGTGTAAAAGTATACTTCATCAGATGGCCAGAGTGATTTTTAGGGGATGGTAAAAATAACAAAAACCGTCCTGGCCCATTCAATTTTACAACTGCTTAAATGGTGAAATTTAAAATATTTCATAAATAGCCCAATCATGGATTTTTGAAATAAATTAAGGAGACCCTAAATTGTTTAAAAAATAGTAATCTGAAAGTTGACTTTGCATGAAATTGCCAAAAGAGGCTTTTTATTTTTGTCCAGTGAAAAGTGTATGAAAATAGCTGGCATGCTGACAGGTTTAGAATGATTTAAGTAAGCCACATGTATTCCCAAAATCTCACCAGAGGAACAAAACTAACAGAACTCAACACAATGAAGAACTTGCAGATAGGATTTTTTCCAAAATGGGTCTACTTTGTAAATGAGAGCAAAATAACATTATTTTGTTAGGGACATTACATAGTGTTGGTAACAAAAACAGTCCTCTTTTTTTGTTTTCTCTGAAATTAAAAACCAGTTTTTTTGGTCTGCTTTGCTCCTTTTTTATTTTCAAGGGGCCTAAACTTGAGTGTTGTAAATCACCAAAATCGTGGAAAATTTCAAGAAAAAATAAAGCCCACTTTATGTTATGGACATTATGTTACAGACATTACATAACAGACATCACATTATAGACATTATGTTATGGACATTGTGACTGCATGACTTTAATAACGGTAATTCTTTTGGGAGAAATAAATGCTATATGCATACCAATTTTGTTCAAATTTATCACATCCAAGTTTTCAGTGTTTTTGACTAAACACAAATAACCATAACCATAACAACAACTGTACATTAGCAGTAGCAACACCATGCTGACATGAAGAGTATAAATTTTCAAAAAGTTGGAGTCCAGATTTGAATTAAGTTTACTGAAAGACATATATTTAGAGTCAGTACCTTCTTTTATAATATCTGAAGATAACAAATTAAAATATAACATGCAATGTTTCAGAAATGTAGCTTAAAACAAGCAATACTTCAACTTTCAAAGACCATTTCACTGATAATATCGTCAAGAAAGTTGTCAATTCATGCAGTTCAGTGCAGTGTAACTTTCCAAAATAGTATCAACTGGCTTATTAACAGTTGAAATGAATAGTACTCTTACAAAAAGTTCAGAACAATCCAAGTTTTGTAATTAAAGCAGTGTTTAACTACTGCAATCTGCAGCTAAGTTTGATTATTTATTTGAAAACATTTTCTTTTTGAAGATATTTAAAAAGCCTCTTGATATATGAAAGACTTGGAACATGGAAACGTCCAGTGCCTTTAAGCTCTTTGGAGTCATAGAAGACTCTTCTCTTGTGGAAAATATCAATATTGCTTCTCAGAGGCCAGTTAAATGTTTTGACAACTTGGTGAAGAAATTTGATTTCAACCTCATTATCAGTAACCCTAAGGGCTCTTCCAATGTAAAACTTGGTGTCACACTTAAGAAATCTGCACCAGAAAGCAAGAACCAAAAGACAGCAGAAACACTAGTTAGAGCATGCTGATTAAAACTGAATCATAAGGAGCATGCTCTTTATGGAATACTAGATACCACCATTACATGTACACCTGAGTTTAGTATTGATGTTATGATTATCAGCTGAACCAAAAAAGAGAATTAACTTGTAATTGGGCCTGATTAAGATAAATTTATCAGTTCTGACAAAGTCAATTATCAAATGTTCATATTAAATAAATAAAAATATTCCCTTATTCTTACCAGTGTAAGAAAAAGTTCCATAGCATAATGTCTGTAACAAAAATTGTGTAACTACATAATAAGGAATACAACTAGATTTTAAAGTTATGCAATCTGCACAATGTGTTGATGTGTTGTGTGTGTGTTCTCATTTTTGTCCCTAAAATCATATGGAGGGTCACATTTGGTCAGCCTTTGTGAATCATGGTGGTTTTTGTTGTTTTTGTTGTTGTTGTTTGTTGTTGTTTTTAATTCTAGTTGACTTTTGATAATTATAAATGAATAAAGGGGGTTTAAGTTTATAAGGAAACTGTGGTACTGCCTTGGTGGGAGAGTATACCAGGATAATTTAGTATTATCAGTTGAGTAGATAAGGTTTAAAAAGATGACATTTTGAGTGTTAGCCCTTTGTCAGAGCAAACAAATTGTCAGCTTTTAACCTCATCGCAGAGGTGAATTTACATTTATTTATCAACTCGGCTGACAATAAGAAAGTACTTTGATACAATAATATAATGTTGCCATTAATACCACTTATAACCTTGGGGCACCTGTTAGCGCCCTTATTTGTGACTGTCATTGTCTTTCATAACTGATATATAGTAACTGTTGTTCTGCTGCTTGTCTTTTCAGACTTTCTGACTTTATCCCTAATTCAAGGGTTATTTTCTTGAACCCAGGAAATTCTATACAAGGTAGGAGGACTTGCTGCTCTTTTTTTCTCTCATTTTTGAAACTTGCCTTCATTTTGTCAATCTCTAAATAACCCTTTCTCCTTACAATATCAACACAATATCAACCAGATAAGTGATGATCAAGAAATCTATAAATTTGGGGATGATTAGTTGATCCAATACTAAATTCTCTGAAGTAACAATATAAGGATTGTGTGGTTGGGAGTCTTAGGAGAATTACAAATTTGATGTGGGAGTTAAAAGATTAACAATTTATTTGCTGGGAATAATCGTGTCCTGTTTGCATATGTTTAAAATTCTGCATGCTCTTATTTCACTCATATCTATGTGAGTATTTATTATTTTGCCTGGTATTTATGTTATATCAAGAACTATGCATGCATGATATTATACCTATTTAATTATGTTGTGATTATATTTGGCTACAAACTTGTGGAAATACCAGAAATAGTTATATTAATATAATAATGGTAATGGCATTGGTACAATTTTGGGTCTGTTCATGGAACTGCAAGTGTTGTATGATGATCAAACAGTAAAATGTGCACTGATTTTACTGGTTTTGATCAATCTACCAAAATGAATTTATTGTGATGCTCATTACATAGATGATCTACTTTTGAGAGTGGAGGTGTGTGATATTCTTTGGAGACTCTGCAGTTATTTAAGTGTTTGTCTGCTTGCTATCATCATTGTAGGGCTGCAGTGGCTAAGAGAAGTTTCATGTGAGTGTATATATCGACTATTCTTGCGTGTGAGTCCAGGTGATACTGCATATATGGAGCTTCTCAGTTTTATCAATTGAAGTAGTTGTCTCAGGGCAGCTAGCAGAGAGTTTTTTCTCTCAGGTATAACTGACTTGTGGGCTGTGTTCTGCAGATTTGTATGGTGTTTAGTGTTTTGGTGAAGTGTTAGGGAAACCTGATGTTATGCTGAGAGATTTTTTCACTTGTGGTTGATCTGATAACACTTGTAAGCATTATGTTAAAGGAGATTGCACACTGGTTTTTATCAATTATGCAATTTTTGGTCACCCACTTATAGGGCAGTACATGACGTATTTAAAATCCCCAAGTACATGTGTTGCATGGTGCTTGTGGATGATGATCATTCTAGTTTATCACCCACTACATTGTTGTTTCAATATTGTTATCAATAGTTTGTCCTTGTGGGAGTGGTGATGGATGATGCCTCAGCAATGTTGCTATAACAACTGTTATTTTGAAATTTCTATGGTCATTCTAGGAGTGGCCAATTGAAGGATGCATATACTCCGTGTGATCATGCAATTGTATTGATGTATATCTTTCTTTGTAAAAGGATCTTGGTAAACATATGCCCGAGATTGTCTGGTTGATTATTTGAGGTGCTAGTTGATGAGAGATTTGAACTTCCAAGCACTGCAACCCCAGGTGCCAGCTGTGTTTAGATGTTTGTTTTGCTGTAAATAATTATGGGTCAGGGGCAGCTAGAAAATATGGCTATGGCACTGGTGACAAATGGATAGTAATGCTGCACTTATCCTTATCATAGTGGCCAGAGCTTCTTTTTACTGTCGGACTTTGTAATCGTTTGAAAGTGGTGGTGTATACCAAGACTGCAGTTTATTTTGATGTCTGGGGCTTTGTTCGTGTAAGGATTAATGCACTGGAACACCAATTGGAGAGGTAAAAATAAGTGTCACTCATGCCGAATTAATCCTTTGGTCGGATAATTTGCAACTGAAGGTTGTTGGTGAGAAATTTACTAATTCAGTCTGAGTTCTCCTCTCTTACCCAGGAATATGGAAAAGGTGTAGTCACAGAGTTGGTTATTTCGGTTGACAGAATAATAAATGTCAGTGGTTGACGACCTGCCAGCAGTTTGTGGAAGGAGTGCTAGATATGAACCTAGTAATTAATGGCCTAGCTCACCATAGATCTATAGTTGCTGGTCCTGGCTTAGGGGAGGGTGGAATTGGCTGAAGGTCTAAAATTCAACTTCTCATGGGGATTCTGATTTTCTTCTTTGTCGCATGTACATAACAGGGCATAAAAATATATTTCTTCTGGTAAAATAATGTTTACCAAACCATTGGAAAACCTTTCAGCAGAATTAAGCTCCATTGTTAAAAATTATATTCCTACTGGCCTCATGAGAATGCATGGTGATTGGATGATGCTTGTGCAGGTCTGTTGAATGCTTTTGATCACATTTAGCTGCTTTTTCATTGCAGTTTCAGTTGCAGATAGAGGTTGCATTCCCTTCCTTTTGCTGCTGCATGTAGAACAAGGTTGTCTGTTGAGTTTCTTCTCCCTTATTGTAGTGGTAACTGCAAGAGGTAGATTTTGCTGTTAGACACACACATTTTTGCCAGTGGACACATTTTTTCATGAAGGTGATAATATTACGGAGACTTTTAAGTCTGTTGACTTAGACGTTATTGTTTCACAGTTTAATGAACTGAGAAACCACGTTTTGTACTGGTACATGAGCTTCAATGACCCTGTATTGTATTGGTGACAATTAGAGTTACCTTCATCTGGTAGAGTTAGTACATAGCTTAAAAAGGTGCATTTTATATCAGTGACTGTGCAATCTGTTTTCTAGGGCTGTACTGGTCTAATCATCAATAAGTAGAGAAACCATGAATTGACAGAGTTTTAGAAGTGCTTTTAATGTCTCCAGGTGCGATAATGAAATAGGGACTAGGGAGGAAATCTACAAATTCCTTTTAAGCTGCTCCTCCATCCAGGAATGTGAGTGCTGGGAGGGAGACCTGGTGTCATGTTGAGTGATATACCTGTAAGGAATTACATTTATTTTTGCACTGAAAGGAATGATTAATACCCGGTATTGCCTAATCCCATGAATATTGGGATAGTTAGGGTGTGTAACATGAGTTTTGGCAAGTTGACCCATAACCAGTCTTTTTAAATGGTACCCTCTTTCTGTAGGCTGCTATTTAGTGATTGTTGTAAACACGGTGACCTGAAGTAATATTATTTCCGTATTTGTTGTGTTGGTATTTCCTGGTGTAGTCACCGAGTTGGTCTATTAACTGAGCTGGTAACAGACTCATTCCCATATTGACGACAACTTTCCTAGCATAGTGTAGTTTGCTTCTGATTATGTAGTTTTTGTCCTTGTTGGGATGGTGATGGATGATGCTTTTGCAATCATTCTTCAAGTGACCAAGTTGTAGTAGTGATCTTTGCAGGGTGGTAAATGGAGGTTGTGCAGTCTTGCTTTGATGTTTCACTGTAATTTATATATTTGTGTCTGCTTGTGGATCGTTTTGGAAAACTTATTTCCCCTTAACCTGTCAAATCGCTTTTCATTTCTGTTGTTTATGTCTCTGGTTGTTACTTTGTAAACTGAAAAACAAAAATCTTTCTTAATCTAAAAACTGGGTTGAAATGAAAAATCTCAGATTAAATCTCCCATTAGGTTCTTTCGTTGGTGTTCCTTGCTCACAAGGATTTAAAAAATGACATCACGATTTGAAACCATTCTCGGTCTCAATTGGCTTTCGGGAGTTGTTTTTTCGAATGGGTTTGATTAGCATCACTTAATGTCAATTCTCTTTTTGACAGGTCATCCTGGAAAAGTTAGAATTATGGCTACGGCTATTTCGCCATTTGCGTCTACGAAAGAGACTACCAACTATGCAAGGCTATGCCGCCTCCTGGTGGATGTTGGATCTCAGGTGCTTCGGTCCACTTTTGACACAATACATCCACCAGCGACTCTACATACAGTTTTGGGAAGTACCTCAGTGCATTACGCCACATTGCAATCACTGTACAAAGGGAGGAAGAAAGTGCTGAATCCCACGCAATGGGGAAAGTTGTACCCTACTCACGCACCCGTGTCTTCTGCAGCCTTCGATATCACACTCCTAACGGTGCTTCTTAGAAATATCTGTGGTTTGGGCCCTCCTGCCAATGGATGGGATCGTCTTCCCCTCGCTACAGACATAAGTATCGCAGATGACATCGCTAGAGTTAAGTATTACAGGAACACTGTATACGGCCATGCTTCTCAAGCCTCTGTGGATGACAGTAGTTTCAGTGCTTACTGGCAGGAAATACGAGAAGCTTTGATGAGACTGGGAGGAGCTCATTTAAGGGCTGAAATCGACAATCTTGAGCACAACTGCATGGATCCAGATATCGAGGAGCATTATCGTCAACTGATGAAACAATGGAAGAAGGACGACGACAGCATCAAAGACAAGCTTGAGGAAATTGAAAGTAAGAAAAACATTATCCACTGCCAATGTGTATGAATCAGAAGGCTACAAAAGTATGTATTTCCAGTTAACACAGCAGTGCAGGCTAGCTCGTGAAGTTTTCATTTTGGTTGGAACTAGTCTTATATTTGGAAGGTATTTTTACGTCATGTGTGAAAAATGAAGAGTTAACCCTAATGTTGACTTCCTAATTCGTTAGATTTTACCCGCATATTCTTGAACAGACTAATGCAATCCTTCCTCCACTCAAATTCTTTTGTAGAGTATTCCATTTTACATGAACAAAATTCCTGAATGAGGGCTGTGTTAATAAAAAGGGGCAGGAGAAGGCGTATGTGGCTATTTTAATTGTCCCGAGCGAAATACTGTGAACGAAACTTCACAATGCATTGCAGGCAGATCTCTGGTTTGTGTCAGCGTTTTTCTTTTTCTATGATTAAACGACCTGAAAACGAGGGCGGAAAAGCGTTCTTTGGTTTTTTTTAATTAGTTCTTACAATGTTGCTTTTTACCGACAAAAATCTTACTCAGACTATCGACTCTAATGATATCAATATTTATCTCCCGAGTTTCGCTATCAGAAACCGCTGAAGCCGAGCCATAAGTTTTTTTTTCGAATGTTTATAAAATTTTAAAAAAAATAACAAAAAAACAGAGGAAGGGAAAAGGATCTATTTAGTTAACTTTTAATAAATAAAGTGACTCTCACTCGGACTAAAAGTTCCAATGTTATTCCACGAAAGGGTCTTTTGAGAAAATGATAGGCGAAATGGTAAAGATGGACAGCGAACTGAAAGAAGTGAAGGAAAAGCTGTGTACTTTGACAGCCTCAGTGGGAGAAAGCAAGGATGAAGGTCAGTTGAATTATACAGTAAAAGTTATCCTGCTTAACCGCAAATTTCGCCGTAGTCAACATGGCCTGTATGTGAGAGAGGGAGAGATCATCCTATGCTAAAGAGATTCAGTTTTTCAATTTAGTCAATCTCTGGAATAATCTCTACGGTGTACTTTCATTCCCTCCAATTGTTCAAACTTTCACCCGTAATTAGCCTAGAAAACTTTGTATTTTTATTAGAGTGGAGAACGAAGTAAAACGAAGTACAGTTTTAACGAAAACATTGGCATTGAGTTCGGCTCGATGTTAGAAATTAACAGAGTACGTTCCACTGCATTTACAAGCCAAATAGCTTTTGGTCAGGTAATTGACATGAATCATACATTGATACCTTTTTCATCGTCCAAGTAATTTCTTTGGCAGTGGTGTCGTACTCGTTCACTAAATTCAGTGCCGAATACCTAGTAGCATTAGATGTAATCCGCATATTTCTGAATAAAATAACTAAACCCTTCCTGCGCTCATATTGTGGAGTATTCAATTCTACATGGGAAAATAGTTGAATGAGGATCGTCTTGAGTAAAAAAAATTCCTAAGGAAAAGACTGTAGGAAAAACCTCCCACTTCATCGCAGGCGAGCCCCCGGTTTGCATCGTCCAAGTAATTTCTTTGGCAACGGTATCGTACTCATTCACTTATTTAAATCCGGTGCCGAATACCAGAGAGGCACCACAATTTTCAATGCTGCATTCATCAGATTTCTTACTTATTTTGCTACTGCTAGGTATATTTGATCCAAGTGAGCTTATCAATGGAATTCGCCAGCTGTACAAGACTCGCGAGGGATGGCTCTCACCATTTCCATGGTGTGAAGAGTTTCAGTTTTTTCTTGGAAATATTTTTACAAGGCTCAAAGTGGTCAGAAGAAAGAAAACGAGAGGAGAAATCACTGACGTATTTGTTGAGATGTCATCAATACTAGACCCATATGAAGATTGTTCAGCGCCGAGAACAGTGTTGATTGAAGGAGAACCTGGTATGGGAAAAACCACCTATTGTAAAAAGTACGCCTACAACTGGGCCACAAACTGCGGCTCAACAGCATTTAAAGTGGTATTATTGTTGAAATGTCGAGACATCCATTCTGACGTCTGGGAAGCCATTGATGATCAGCTGCTGTCCCTAGACATCGATGAAAAAGTCAAACGACAATTTTTTCAGTTTATGCGTGAAAATCAGTCCAGCATTTTATTGATATTGGATGGATTGGATGAGTTACCATCCGGCAAATTGTCGATGTTTTCCGAATTAATTGAAGGAAAAGTACTCCCCAGATGCCACATAGTTGCAACAGCAAGACACGAAGCTGGAAAAGAGGTGAGAAAATGTTGTGACGCGCTGCTTCAGATCGAAGGATTCACTGAAAAGCATGTGAAAGGATTTGTCACCAAGTACTTTAAAGAAAGGACGGATTTAGCCACCAAGCTCTCGCAACGGATGTCGCAAGATAAAAACCTGAGAGAAATAGCGGCCAATCCTCTAAACACAGCACTTCTTTGCCTTTTATGCGAAGAGTCTGAAGGCACACTCCCCGAAAGCAGAGCTCAACTGTACTTGGATATGGTTGAATGTGTTTTGAGAAGATATAGAAAAAAAAGGGACTACTGGAAACGATAGAAGACTTGACAAACTATTACAAACCGCAATTGAATCACCTTGGAAAGGTAGCGTTGAATGGTTTACTTGACGATAAGTTGGATTTTAATAAAAGTGAAGTGAGAAACCATGCAAAAGACCTGACTGAATTTGGATTTCTGTCAGTGCAGCCTGGTGGCAGCAAACTGAGACAAACACTGCATTATGCATTCTTACATAAAAGTTTTCAAGAATTCTTTGCAGCATTCTTCGTTTGTTCTCAGATTCAAAGCAAGGAAATGAAACCTGAAGAACTAGTTTCCGATCCAAGGTATTTCGTCGAACTTAAACAAGTACTTTTGTTTTCATGTGGAATTTTGGCCATGAAATGCGATGAACATGTTGTGGCTCTTGTAAAGAGTTTAACAAATGAAGTCAACAAAAAATAAAGGCCGTGGTGCAAAAACTGTATTGGAGGTCATCAACGAATGTAAAAGAGAAAAAAGCGATTTTCACTCGCATTTATCGAAGTCGTTTGGAACTGGTTTGAATCTGACCAATTTGGATTTGTCTTCCAATGGTATTAGTGATGCGGGTGCTACATGTATTGCTGAGGCAATCAAAGTGAACAAGACGCTAACCAATTTGGATTTGCGAAGCAATGGAATTAGTGCTACGGATGCTACATGTATTGCTGAGGCAGTCAAAGTGAACAAGACGCTAACCAATTTGTATTTGTCTAAGAATGATATTAGTGATGCGGGTGCTACATGTATTGCTGAGGCAATCAAAGTGAACAAGACGCTAACCAATTTGGATTTGTCTAGGAATCGTATTAGTGATGCGGGTGCTAGGTGTGTTGCTGAGGCAATCAAAGTGAACAAGACGCTAACCAATTTGAATTTGTCTTACAATGGTATTAGTGATGCGGGTGCTACATGTATTGCTGAGGCAATCAAAGTGAACAAGACGCTAACCAATTTGGATTTGGGAATCAATGGTATTAGTGGTGCGGGTGCTACATGTATTGCTGAGGCAATCAAAGTGAACAAGACGCTAACCAATTTGGATTTGGGAATCAATGGTATTAGTGATGCGGGTGCTACATGTATTGCTGAGGCAATCAAAGTGAACAAGACGCTAACCGATTTGGATTTGCGAAGCAATGGTATTAGTGCTGCGGGTGCTACATGTATTGCTGAGGCAATCAAAGTGAACAAGACCCTAACCAATTTGTATTTGTCTTTCATGTCTTTCAATGGTATTAGTGATGCGGGTGCTACATGTATTGCTGAGGCAATCAAAGTGAACAAGACGCTAACCAATTTGGATTTGCGAAGCAATGGTATTAGTGATGCGGATGCTAGGTGTATTGCTGAGGCAATCAAAGTGAACAAGACGCTAACCAATTTGTATTTGTGGGATAATGGTATAAGTGATGCGGGTGCTACATGTATTGCTGAGGCAATCAAAGTGAACAAGACGCTAACCAATTTGGATTTGTCTGAGAATCGTATTAGTGATGCGGGTGCTACATGTATTGCTGAGGCAATCAAAGTGAACAAGACGCTAACCAATTTGGATTTGTCTGAGAATCGTATTAGTGATGCGGGTGCTACAGGTATTGCTGAGGCAATCAAAGTGAACAAGACGCTAACCAATTTGGATTTGTCTGAGAATCGTATTAGTGATGCGGGTGCTACATGTATTGCTGAGGCAATCAAAGTGAACAAGACGCTAACCAAGTTTGATTTGTCTTAGAATGGAATGTCTTGCTGAGGCAATTAAAGCAGGGTTTAAACAACTTTGAAGTAGAAGGGCACTGCCTTTAAAGTAGGCAGGTACCTTTGAAAATTGAGGGCCGAAGGCCTGAACCTCTAGGGGGTCCCAAGAAACGCATTTTCCTGCAATCTAGAGAAAAAAATCTTTCTGCAATGATGCATACTTAATCTATTATAATAAAAAAGAATGGTACTCTGGGAGAATTTGTTTATTTCACTGTTGTTTTCGGAGCCTCTTTTTATCCTACAGTTACAAGTTAAAGGCGCATTTCCAACTTTGATGCAACTCGCGCCGCGACCCAATTTCCTGTAACACGAAATTTCCAGATCACTGAAAACCTTCTAAAATCGTCTTTCTCAAGAGCCATCCTGAACATATAGTCAACAGTTTTACGGTAAATACATTCGCCGTTCGTTATTTCACTGTTTCCTTACAGTATTTTGAATTTAGTCTTGAAGAATCCTAAGAAAAAATTTTTTAAGTGTCACGCCTGGAGCTCTTCGTACTCTGTGAAGAGTCGGCGAAAAGGACAATATTCAAATTTTTTCACTTTCTAGAAGCGCTTGAGGATTCTAAATGAAGACAAAATACTTCCGATAGAAACTGGTATTTTTCACAGAGAAATATGGAAAAATATCAGACTGCCGGACGTTTAGTTATTTGAAGACCGTGTCCGGTAGTGTCTGGTGAAAATTTTCTTAGTGTCACGCTTGGATCTCTTCGTACTCTGTGTACAAGGTCAGCGAAACGGAGAACGTTGGCATTTTTTTCACTTTTTAGAAGCGCTTGAGGATTGTAAATGAAGGTAGAATATTTTCCAATGAAAAAAAATTAGTATATTTCAAAGAGAAATATGGAGTTGTTTGAGGACCATGTCCAGCCGTGTCACTGAAATTTTAAGCGCTTGGATGGCTTCGTACTCTGTATACAGGGTTAGCGAGAAACATCAAGTTCGAAATTTTAGGCTGCCTAGAAGCGCTTGAGGATTGTACATAAAGGTAGAAAATTTTCACATAAATATATTTTTGGATTTCGAAGAGAAATATGGAAAAATATCGCACTGCCGGACGCTTAATTATTTTAAGTGTAGTCACACATTGCAGGAACTCGAACGTCAGCGATACTGACAGTTTGCATTACAATTCTTATTTACTGCTTTGCATGGACAACAACCCCGACCACTCTTTCGAGCGCAAGTTCCTCTCCACGGGCAGGAAACTTCAACTGACTTAGTCCTATTTAACAAAGATGGCAAACTTCAATTAAAAAAAACTGATGAATGAAAACGTGGTGGATCAACATTTTCACCTTCGAAATGCACGCAAGGATTTTCGCGTTTGTCTTTAGCAACAACCAATCCATAAGCGTTTACTGCCTCGGAATCTACTAAATCAATAGATTCATCCAATTCTATACCGGATTAAAACGTATAGAACTGTCTTAAACAGAATTATTTAGATAAACTCTTCAAATTCATCGGAGAAAACGCAGAAAGTATTTTGAGACGTGACAAGGTAAAAATAACTGACCAATCAGAGGCGCTATTGAAACAAAAGCGGTGGTTAAAACAAAAACAAACGACCGCGTTGCATCAAGGTTGGAAATGGGCCTTTAAATTCAGCCTATAAAGTGATAAAGTGTGAAACTGACACTTTAAGTAGTTTATGAAAACTCAAAGTCTGAGCTGCAATCAGTCTTCGGCATCCAAATCTGGCAGCTCCAAGGCTTTGGAGATTTCCTCTACCTCTTCCTCAACAGAATAGAATAACTGGGCGTCATAATCAGTTGCCTGTACACCAACATCATGTACAATTACCACAGGAACATCCTCATCTGCAGATCCTGGACCCGGTGGTGGTGCTGTGTTGAAAACCTTCGGAGGGCGCTTGCGACGAGGTTTAGCTGCCAACCAGGACGAAATAGCCCCCTACTGCTTGGCCATTGATCAAAATGTGGAGAAGAGTGTTAAGCATGTCATTCTGCATTCTACTGCGGAGTCTGGTTAAGTTTTGAGAAGCTTCAAAGCACTTGCTCCTCTCTAAGGCCACACATCTGACACTGAAAGGGAGACCACTGCATTTGCGTAAAGTGAACAAGACGCTAACCAATTTGGGTTTCACTTACGATGCTATTGGTGATGAGAGTGCTACATCGATTGCTGAGGTAATCAAAGTCAACAAGACGCTAACCAATTTGAATTTGTATGGCAATTGTATGAGTGATCCTGATGCTACGTCTATTGCAGGGAAAATTAAAGTCAACAAGACTCTGACCAATTAAGATTTGTGTAACAATGGTAACAAATGTGAACAAAACCGTGAACTTCTTGAACCGACTTCTGGAGGAATAATTGAAAGGATTGTATTTTCCCTTTTGTACTCTTTCTTTAAGGTAACTTTTTGAAACTTTTCCTTTTTGTGAACGCATGGCAAAACTCTTGAGGAGCTTTCTTTTAGTTGTCCCTAGTTGCATTTTGATTAGATTACATTCAAGTTACAAAAGCTACCTTTGTTATATTTTCTTCATTTAAGGTGATGATTATCCTCCTGAGGTATTTTCTAAGACCAACGAATTATCTTCTTTGAGAATTATGTAAAGGGCGCAAACAGAGGGTAGTTATAGATACGGCAAGTAAGTTGTTAATATGAATCCACATGGGCAATTAAACTTTGAAACTATTCCATTCCAGTTTAGTCTCGAGTCTGCTGATTCATCTATCAAATTTTGAAGCCCACTAAATCGTTATTTTTTTCTGTGATCTGTGTCGTTGTCATTTTGTTTCATGCTACCAGATTTCAGCACTACTCATTTTTCTCTATAATTTTGTAAAGGATAATTTGAAAATCGTCGTCGTTTTCCCTTTCTTTTCAGAATATTCTTCTCAATTATAACAGTACATCTCTTTTGAGCATCACCTTCTTAGAGTTGAAATGCATTTTGAACGGAATTATCAGTAGTTATGGCGAAACCATGTAGAAACCAAGCGACCCAACGATGGAGTTGTTTACGATGAGTTCCTATTTATCCGTGGAAGAATAAAATTAACTCAAACTAGTCACCAACGAAACGGTTTGACTTAGGAATAAGACTTCGTTTTTGTTTAATTCAATTTTTTTAAACGAATGAAGTCGTTCAAAACTAAATAAAATCAATAGATGTAGAAAGCCGTGCCAAATTCAAGTTGATTGTCATTTCTTTTCGAAGCGAGAGCATAACTTTCTTGTCTTAGTTTTCACAGGCGCTGATCAAAAATTTCAAACAAAAAGTGCATACCTGAGCTGTTCTAAATTTTTTATCATCTCTTACTTCAATTCGCGGAAAAGTTTTCAATCACGGTAAAAAGACAATAACAACAAATAACTGTGAATAATACAGTAGGTAAGCGTAGTGATATTTCATTTTGATAAACTTCAACATGAAGCAAGTTTAATTTATTGATGAATTGATTCATGATAAAATTAACAGCGTCCCATTCTTAGAGTTTTCATACAGGATTAAAGAAATGTATCAAATAACAGCCCTTTCGCTGTTTTAAGCCTTGCTCAATTACAAGTGTACTGAGCCCTAAGATCTTAGATCCGGCGCTTGCCAACGATTGTGTTTCCTTTCGTGAATTCAGCATAAATTAAGCGGTAAATTTTCCCAAAATACACCGAATAAACCAAGGGAAGGGACTAGGTTATCCTGGAAATGAGTTCTGAAATAATTCCTGAAATAATTCCTGAAATAATTCCAAACAGCATTATCTCGTTTATAAGCGAAAAATTTACAAATTTACACAAATCCCAGGCGTTTTGATCGCGAGGGGAAAACCAGCGAAATGACGTCCTGAACTTGTTGGGGAGAACGGCAACGGTAACACCGGAAGTCGAAATATAGTCGTGTTCAGACTATCCGTGTGCTTTCCCGTTTTGAAATAACGTTCCCGTCCTCTTGCTAAATCACTCTAATCTTCGTTGAAATATCAGGTCATAAATTACGCACAGTGTGGAGAAGATCAAAATTAAAGAATAGAGTTTGGCACTATAGTCATTACAGACATATCGCGTTGCTTAAAAAGACACAAGTTGAAATACGTTACAGTGTTCTTTACAAAGCAACATGCACACACTCTGAAAGAATTCTTATAGTTTCTCCCGAGATTTGCACACAGAACACGATGAACTAGACCCCCTTTCTTAAAATTTGTTTCCATCATTAATGGTTTTACGCTGTTATGGACCACAACGGTTTTGTGCAGATTGGCCTGATTATCGAGAAGGCGCCTTCCGATCACCTTTGTTAACTTTGTAAGTCACGCAAGCGCGCAAGCGTTACGACCGATCCCGTTTTAGCAACGTTTTAAGACAACTCGGCATCTATTCTCAGCAAAAAATCAAAGAAAAACTTTTTTTCCGACGGGTAGTCGAGGGGAGCGCTCTTAGCGAGAGCGGCACTGACGCGCTTCATCCGAATCTAATTTTCCTTATTCCTTGGTGATTACAAAACCTTTTTACGCTTCGTAAACTACAGCCCTTTAGGTTCGGATATCGAGCTTTGATTTCAGTGACAAGCTCCTCGTGAGTATGTTTCTGTTCGATAAGAAACCGGCGGACAAAGTCTTTATTTAAGACATTTTCCCGCTTGAACAAAAATGGTCAGTTTCAATGCCATAAACCGAAAACAAAAAACCAAAAACGAATCGTAATCCGTTTTCAAAATTCCATACGAAAACGAAAAACGAAAAAGAAACTTGAATTTTTTTTTTTTTGTGAGCTACAGAAAAAGAAAAACGGAGAGCATTAAGTGAATTCGAAATCCGTTTCCTTCCTGACGAGGAAAAATGTAAAACGAAAATGGAAGTCCAATTTGCTTTTCCACTGCAAAGAAAAACGAAAAACGAAAATACAATTTGAGTTTCATTTTCCTATGCAATTGAAAATCGGTTGGCACTAAGGTACACGGATTATTGCTCTATCATTGTGCTTGTCTTCGGGAGCTCTTCAATGTACAGTCCCGGCCACACATCAATCCTAGCAGCCAAGATAGTCTCACTAACATTTCTTTCCGAGCTTCGAACAAAAACAGCAATACCAATCCGGTCAGTACAGAGTGTAGACTGCATACCGGGTAAAAAATGCCGACTAGTTACAAAATGTAGATTGCAGATCGCAGACCGGGTACAAAATGCAGACTGACAATTTGTACTGTTTTTTCGTCTGATACTTGATCACATGTCTTATTACAACTTACCGAACGTCACGCAAGCGCTTTTCCGCGATCATCTTTCACGATTATTTGCACTACTGTCGAATATTCCTTGCCTGTTTCTTGATCACAATCGTTCTTAATATAATTTCAAGCCTAATTTAGTATTCTCATTTTGCGCGCGAGTTGGTTGGCTTGATGTCTGTATAGAATTTACCAACTTAATAAAAGTAGTTGTAGATGTAGATGTAAATGGATGCCACTATCGAATATTTAACCTGCGCAATATTCGAGAAATTCATCTTTTTAACCGATATGTGTTCATTTTGTCGACGAAAATGCGAACCAAGACCAAAACTGTTCCTTCGACTTGATATATTTTCAATGTTCAGAGGTGTACACACACTAATTTTCACATATGTGTCTTACATTGCTATTGGTTTACATGAGGAACTGGAGCATTTTCATAGGGAAAAGCGAAGCGTTGCCCTCGTGACTGGCCATTCGTTTACTTTTTCGGTGGTTTTATCTCTCGTCGGTTTGGTGACTACGCAAATATTAACATGTGAAAATCAGATTATACGAAGACTTGAAATTCCACTAAGAACTATTGTGGCCGCTTTGATAAAAATCAATTGCAACGGCCGCTTTGTTTAAAACAAAAGATATCAAGAAACGGGCAAGGAATATTTAATAGATAATTACTGCGGCAGTCAGCGTTATGAGATATATTGCAGCCAGCTGAGGGCGTAGTCTGCCTAATGACCTCTGCCCATCCCACCTCCAGCCCACACAAACTTTTTTCCAATTCTCATCACGACGAATGCACAGTTTTCTTATCACACAACTGCCCAAAAATAAAAGAAAATTTATTCCAAAAGTCTTGAAAGTTCACATAAACCGAATTCAACCGTACCTATATTCAGCAAGTCCAAGAAATCAATGCAAATCTCAGCCATAACATGAATGAGCTGGCTCCAAGAGCCCTTTGATTTTCATTACTTCAAGGTTTCGAGCGTCTCTCTTTCAATAAAAACCAAAACAAAAAGAATAGATAGGCATTGTTTCTTATTTCTGTTGCGATCTTCAGATCCATTCAATGAAATTTGACCACTGAAAGCTTCCGGGAGGGAGGTTTGTGGGGGAGGGGGGATGCGGGATGGACAATAAGGGGGAGGTGGGGACACAATAGGGGCGAGGTAATCACAGTCGTTGTAGATAACTCTAAAATGGTAATGTATTGCCAGCGGACAGCAAAAGCGTGTGAAGGAAACGAAAATCGCAATAAAGCCCCAACAAAGCCTTAATAGTGGGATTGGGAAGGACAGGAAACTGACTGCTGCTAAAGCAACGCTGCTATGCTCCCCCACTTCCCGTACAACCCCTCCCCTCCCACCTCCCATCCACTCCTTATCCTACGAGAGCCATGATCCCTCCGTTAATTACGTGACCACACAGGCTGGAATGGGAGAAAAACTTGAAAACACCATCAGTAAGTTTAGTAAGAGCTTGGCGGAAGAAACAGAAAGGTGGTATTATCCCCCTTCCCCTCCCATCTCATTTGCTTTCGCTGTCAAAACCCATTTCCAGTCTTTTCTGGAAGAGACTTTTGATGTTTGACACCAACATATCCTTCTGAGAAGAGAAATAAAAGGAGGAAAAAATTTCTAAAGAAAAAAGGTAGTATTACTCGTATGCCAATGTCAAATGCATTGCGTTGAACTGATTAAAGAACCCTGATGAACTTTCCCTATTTTTAAAGTCGTTTAAAGCCACGTACCTTATAATTAAATCACAATCAAGCCGTTTTCAGTAACCTGTGTAACAGGATGGAACAATTTTGCTTAGATACTAAGGATTTGGTCGAGATTATACTGAAATACCTGTGATGAAAGATGGAGGAAACAAGTTACATAGGTCAAGTAAGAGAATAGTGTGCTAAGATTGGGATCTTGGAAGGGTTTGAAATGCTGCCGGCTAGTGTTACAGCTTGCATATTTAGCCAACTTAACTCCCATGTTAGTCTAACACTACATTGGAATCACCCTTTTCAGGAATATTTCTATGCTCTTTGGTCTCGTTCGTCTGGCTAT